GTATGCTCTCTCCCGAGAGCAGCCAATCCCGGCTCTAGCATACCTTACCCCGCAAAAAGTCCGAACCCTCCCAGCGTCGATCTGAGGGTTGGCCACCCCGGAAGGAGATAGGAATCTTACAGCACACACACACACACATACATACAGCGCCGGCGCGCCACCACCCCTAGCGGCACGCCACCACCCTCCATCCACCGGGAGCGCACGCCGCTGCCCTCCTAGCTGCCCTCGGCTCGCTCGCTGTCTCTGTCTCTCTCTCTCTCTCTCTCTCTCTCTCTCTCTCTCTCTCTCTCTCTCTCTCTCTCTCTCTCTCTCTCTCTCTCTCTCTCTCTCTCTCTCTCTCTCTCTCTCTCTCTCTCTCTCTCTCTCTCTCTTCTCTCTCTCTCTCAACTCTCTCTTCTCTCTCGCTCTCTCTCTCTCTCTCTCTCTCTCTCTCTCTCTCTCTCTCTCTCTCTCTCTCTCTCTCTCTCTCTCTCTCTCTCTCTCTCTCTCTCTCTCTCTCTCTCTCTCTCTCTCTCTCTCTCGTCACTCTCTCTCTCAACTCTCTCTCTCTCTCTCTCTCTCTCTCTCTCTCTCTCTCTCTCTCAGTCAGTCAGCATATCCAAAACAAAGAAAATTGGCATTGCTAAAAATCTCTCTCTCATATCCATATGCCTGACATCATTGATGCGCGGCTTTTTCGGGTGTCAAAACGAGTCTGGCTTACATTTTCGTGGACTTGTTGTGTCGTATCAACGTATCTGTACGCACTCTCGTCTCTGTGAACGTGTGCGGGCCGGGCGTTTGCCACGCAACTTTTCGCCGCGAACACTTCCTCACACTTTTGCCGCGAACGCACAAATCGGCAAAAGAGCACGCCGCGGTTGCTTCTGCATGGCTGCGCGACCAGTCTACCTGCCCATCACCTGGTCGGAGCAGTGCATCTTCTTCCCGGACGGCAAACGGCATACTCACGATGAAGCCGGTCGCTTCAAGCAGCGCGGCAACCAGATGCGCATAAAGCTGCTCCAGGACGGCGCTGCGGCGCACGCCCTCAAGCACGGCCGAAGCGGGAGCTCACGCTGGCGCATGAGCTACATCTCCTTCGACCCGCACGCCTGCCGCCTCAAATGGGAGGACGGATCCCACAAGGGGGGCACCATTGACCTCGCCCCGGCTGGCGTGGGCCTCTTTGTCAGTCGACTCGACGCACGCCACCTCGGCCTCACCTTTGGCGGCTCGAGGCTGCTTCTGATGGACACAGCCGACCTCGCCGTGGCGAAGGAGTGGGCCGTCGGCCTCTCCTCTGCCCTCTTCTTCCGCTCCGACGCCTTCTCTGCCGTCTCGGACGAGTGCTTGCAATGCTTCGCTGCTGCCCTGTCGCTGCGCTCCGGCTCACGACGACCGGCTGCGCTTCAACTGGGCGGCGCCCGGCTCAGCGCTCGCGAGGTGACCCTCCTGCTCCAAACTATGCTGCGGCCTCTGAGCGGATCGGATATGGTGGCGTTGGAACAGCGGCTCAGCGAGCCAGGCGGCCTGGGACCTCAGGGCTTCACTGCTCTCTACCGCCACCTCGCTTCTCACGACGACCCCGTTGATGCGCTAGCGCGAGCCCTCGCGCTCGTGGGCGACACCCGGAGCAAAGGAGAGCCCTTCCCCAACAATTGCCTCGGGGCGGCGCTGGTCGTGCTTCGCCGCTTCCGCCTGCCCGACCACGCCATCGACAGGCTCGTTGAGACGGCGAATAGGGCTGCTGCAAACTCGTCGGAGCCCGTGACGCCAGTGCACGTGGCCAGCACCCTCTATCCACGGCTCGCGGCGTTTCTGGACCGCTCTGACGAGGGCGCGTTCGCATTGGAGGGCAGCCCATTGCGCGCCGTCTCAGATGTGCTCTTGCACTCGAGCGCGATTGAGGGTCCCGTGACAGCGCAGCGCCAGCTTCCGGAAGCTTTCGACGCGCGCTCCATAAACCTGACGATGCGCTCACGCTTCATCGGCTACCAGATGAAGGCACAGCGCGAGGAGCTGGGCACCGACACAGTGGAGGGACAGCCATCACCAGAGACATACAAGCGGCGGATGGACAGGGTTCACTCGCCGCGGTCGCCGCGTTCGATGGCCCTTACGTTGCGCTCGCGCTTCATCCGCAGCCAAATCAAAGCGCAGCGCGAGGAGCTCAGCACGGATGGGCAAGGTCCCACTCGAGAGGACTACAGGCGGCGCCTCGATCGGGCGCACGCGCGCGGCACTAGCACGAGGGAACGAGACCGCCAGGCCGCAGCGGCCACGTCCGGGCGCACCCAGCAGCTCCGGGTCGGGGAGACGCTACGGACTCGGCATATCCGCGAGGACATCGCCGACCAGCGCTCCCAGGGTCGCTCGACGACCACTGCGCTCTACCGAGCGCGCGTAGAAAGGGCAAGGGGCGACTTGGCTGTTGACAATGCTGTTCCGCCCGAGCCTTCGGCTTCGCGTGTGTGGCGCACCGACATCCGCAATCACCAGCCGCCTCCTGCGAGCGTCTATCAGGACCGGATGGAACGGGCGCGCGAACGGACTTGGGCGACGCGCGTTGCCGTGCGCCGGTCTCCAAGGCCGGGGGCCTCACCACGGCCGGGCGCCTCACCTAGACCAGGGGCCTGGTCAAGGATGGGAGATGACTATCTTGATGCGGCCTGGCTTGGTGAGATGTCCAGGCGGTCGTCGTCCAGCCTCGCGAGCGTCGTGGAGCGTCTCTGAGCAGCCACGTACCGGCCAGGTTGGGCGGTGCGACAGGGGACCACCGCGCGGGAAACCTGAGGTCCCGGGGCCACTCGGGCTCAGCCTCAGCCGTCACCCTCCGTGCTCCGTCGCACCCAACGCACCGGTGTGCAGGAGCCGTTGTGTGTGTCCCACCAGCCACCGGGACCCGATCGGCTTGCGCCGACCCGTCGAAAACTGCACCCATCGATCGCGAAGTACGACGTCCGGTCATGACTGCCGTTCGGTTGACTCAGTATCAGATTCTCTCCATCATGTTCTTTCCACTTTCGAGCGCGTTTCGAACACAGTGTGGTCACACATTTGTTTGACATACGTATTGATCATTGTCAGTTATTGAGCGTTTGTGTGCTGCCAGGTCTTTCTCCATGCGTACATACACATCCTGATGTATTCAATACCTGGACGCTATAAGTGGACTGCGCTGCTATCCCGCGTCCCGGCCAGATAAACAGACAGCGCGCGCGATCTGTATACGACGGCGCACCGGCCCGCTGGCTCACGGTGACGCTGTGGCATCAGCCGCGTCGCGCATCGTCGGTCGTACCCAGACCTGCGCACGCTCCGGGCGCTGCAGCACGAGCATGAGCGAGTCGAGGTAGAGCACGCCGTCAGTGCCGCTCTCGGCGGGCAGCGGCAGCGGGCCAGCGCGGCACTCTGAGCCGCGCCACTCTACGATCAGCTTCGCACCGTCGCTCGAGTCGCGCACCTCGTACCCGCCCACCGTAGTCGCGAGGGCGCCGAGCAGCGCGGGGAGCCGCCGCTCGAAGCGCTCGTCGGCGGCGAGCGTCATCTGCGCCTGCAGCGGCGCGAAGCTCGGCTTGCCGTCACCGCCGACCGTGAGGCCGAGCAGCCACTCGCCGCGCAGCGAGGGGAGCGCCTCGGCGGCGCGGCCGCGCACGCACTCCTCGCGCCGCAGCGTGCGCAGGAACTCGAGCGACTGGCCGACCCGCTCGGGCGTGCCTACAATCTCGGCCAACCTCGGGTAACCTCGGGCAATCTCGCGAGACTGGCCGGCCCGCTGGGGAGCGCCCCCCGCGTCGCGCCGCACCGCCGCGGTGCGCAGCACCATCCGCGCCTCCGAGATCGACTCGACGGGCGGCCTCCGCGCAGAGGTGAGGAAGCCTAAGACACGACCTTCCGAGCGAGTCCCGAGAAGGTTCCGACACCGGGTCTCGGCGCAGAGGCGAGGGACGCCGTCGGTGGTCGAGTACGTGCGGAACTGGCGCGCCGCCATCAGCGTGGGCGTGGCGAGCTTGGCGTACTCAGCCTCGCTGCCCGCCCCGCTCGCATCCACCTGCAGGAAGGTAGCCCGCCTCCTGGAGGCGTCTCGGCAGCGTCTAGGGGGCGTCTCGGCAGCGTCTCGGCAGCGTCTCGGCAGCGTCTCGGCAGCGTCTCGGCAGCGCACACCTTGAGGAACTCCGCCGCCTCCTCCTGGAAGAGCATCTGCTGCGCAACCTTGCGCGTGTTCTTGTCCTCAGAGGACTGGAGCTTGACGAAGAGCTTGCGCGCCTCGTCCCGCCGCCCGTCTGCATCGAGGGCGATTGCCAGCTCGAGCAGCGTCGAGCCGCCGAGTGGCGTGTTTGAGGTGCACCACTCAGTCACCGCCTCGAGCTGCGAGATGGCGCCGCGCCGGTCGCCGAAGCGCATCAGCTGCCTAGCCTCCTCCTGTGCGGCTGCGATCTCGTCGGCATGCTCCAGCTCAAGCGTTAGGTCCATCCCGCGCGAGCGGCGGTACTGCCGCAGCAGCTCCTCCGTCTCGGCGCGCTTCTTCGCTCGCGTCTCCTCGTCCTCCTGGTACCCGCCGAGCCCGACCCGCTTACCGCCGCCGTACGCCTTCGAGATGTCGGCCGGCCGCTCGAACACGCCCCACGTCCCAACCTTGGGCTTGTAGCCGCTCTCGCCTTCTTTCGCGGCCTCCGGCGTCCACGCACCGCCAATGCCGCTCGTGCGGCCCGGAGGAGCATCGAGCGGCGGCGGCGACGGCGCTGGCGGCGACGGCGCTGGCGGCGGCGCTGGCGGCGGCGGCGCTGGCGGCGGCGGCGCTGGCGACACCCCGAGCTCGGCCATCGAGTCCGTCATGATAGAGTTGGACGCGACCTTACCCTGCTCCCTCAGCTGCCGCATCTTGTCCTCGATGGCCTTCTTCCGCGCGTCGCTCGGCCCAACTCGGTTGATATCCTTCATGGCGCGCTCCGCAAAGTCACCCGGCTGCCGCTCCTCGGGCGGCTGCGCGGCCTGCATCGTCAGCCGCAGCGCGCGAGCCGAGCCGAAGCCTGCGAACAGCATCTTCTCGATTCGCCGCAAAAAATAGGTCCGGCGGGGCCACTCGGCGCCAGGTCGAACGGCGGTCGGCTCGGCCACTGCGGGGCGACGCATGATAGAGCATGCTGGGCGCCGCATCATCTACTTACTACTACCGCTCCAGCGCTCCACGCCGTCGGCGCTCGCGGCGCTTCGGTGCTCGGGCGCGCTCACCATGTGGTCGTTCAGGGCGGCTTGCACAGCGCCTGCACACACACACACTCACACACACGCACGCACACACACACACACAAACTCACACACACACACACACACACACACACACACACACACACACACACACACACACACACACACACACACACACTCACACACACACACACACACACACACACACACACACACACACACACACACACACACACACACACACACACACACACACACACACACACACACACACACACACACACACACATGCACACACACACACACACACACACACGCACAATGACCTTAACAGCGGGGCCTACGTCTCTTCCGTCCTAGTAGCGATGAGCTCACTAGCTAGAGCTCACACTAGAGGCCATCATCGCATTCGCCCTGGGACCCAGCGCTGACTTCTGACTGTCGTTGCGGTCTATCCCTTTCTCGATTGTCTGAGCTTGTGCGTCTTGCCTTGGGTCCGTGGTTGTGTTTTTGTGTGAAGGTCGGCAGCCCGAGCGCCGTCGACCGCACCGACTACGGCACAGCCTCCGGCAGCGCCCGGGGCTTTGTCCAGCACCACTCGCAACAGCTCTCGCGCGCCGCCGTCTGTGGCGACGCGCAAAACATCAACAACGCTGCTCGCAACATGCGTGTCGCGCACTCATTCATGACCGGTCTCAATGTCCCACCCCCCTGCGCGCGGGCCTTCTAGGCCCGCGGGTAGTCTCACCCCATCCCCAGGGCCTCCAGGGCTCGCACCTCAACCTCTCACAGACCAGCGCACAGCGCCATAGGACGTATTTTCTTGTCAATAACAAGGCTGTGAATAGGACCTAGCGTCCATTGCTGCGCTGCAGACGGCAGCACCACACCTCCACCTTTGCCTAATGAAACGAGGGACGGCCCCTCTCCTCCTGCTGCTGCTATCTCAGAGCTTTGAGAGCTCCGCTGCGTTCAACGCCTCTTTCCACGCTGTGCCGCTCGTCGACCTGGCCGGGAGCTTCGACTCGACCGCGAGCACCGTGCGCACCGCGCTCAGCACGTACGGCTTCTTCTACATCACGAATCACGGCGTCCCGCAGGAGCTCATTGACCGGCAGTTTGAGCAGTCGCGGCTGCTTTTTGAGCAGCCCGCGGCCGTCAAGGCGGCCATGCCGTTCAACGGGACGCTCGACATCGGGTACCTCGGGTCGGGTGGCCAGGCGTTGGACGCGGAGGGCCGCGCGCGAGACACCAAGGAGGGGTTCATGCTGACCAATAACGGCGTCTTCGACCCGAGCTTTGTCCTCTCCGCCGACGACCCGCTCGCCGGGGCGACGCTCCACTGGCCTCCGGAAGATGCGCTGCCCAAGTACGAGGGGGTGCTGCGTGCGTACACCGCCGCTCTGAGCCGGCTGAACCGCCGTCTCAATCAGTTCCTCTTCGCTGCGGTCGGCCTCGGCGAGGCCGAGCGGCTCGAGCTGGCGCGCCAGCCGTTCCACGTGACCAAGCAGCTCAGATACGTGCCTGCCGAGGGCTTTGTCGACGTGGACGCCGGCTCGCTGGGCGCCGGCGCGCACGCGGACTGGGGCAGCCTGACCATCCTCGCGACGGACGGCCAGCCGGGGCTCGAGGTGGAGCACTCGGAGGCAGGCTGGCTGCCGGTGCCGCCTCGCGACGGCTGCCTCATCGTCAACGCCGGCGACCAGGTCAAGCACTGGACGAACGGCGAGCTCAAGTCGGCGAACCACCGCGTCGTCGTCAAGTCGGCCCGCCCGCGCTTTTCCACCGCCTTCTTCGCCTACTTTGACCTGTGGGCAAGGCTGGAGGCGCTGCCGCAGTTTGTCTCGAGCGCGCGGCCGCCGATGCGGCCGCCCGAGACGACTCTGGAGTTTTTTCACTTCAAACTGGGCGAGTCGGTCGGCAACGCACGAGAGAGGGGCGGCGCGCTGAAGGAGGAGACGTGACAAGGGGGAGGAGGACAACCCTTGTCTCGGAAACGGAGGGCGGGTGTACATCTTGAAATGCCAGGAAATGCCGTGTATGTATGTATGTACAATGTGAGACGGTTCGAGATGTGTTCGAGATTTGGGGCGGTCTTTGGGACCCATATGTTGCTACTGTTCATATGCAGGCACAGTTATTGTTATGGTGACCCATAAGGCATAACATGTTATGGGCTGCTATGAGAGAGCCGTCCCGGGTCCACGGTGTTATGGCCCCGACGCCCGAGAGGATCTGAGTACTGAGAGGCCACCAGGCCACGCCAAACAGCTCGCCGCTGGAATGTTCGCTTCTTTTATATTTGAAACACACACAGAGAGAGACGCAACACACAGACAGAGACTCAGAGAGTACGTACAACAACAACAGCTTGGAGAGAGATTTTTATTAACCAAAATACGGCGTATTCCATGGAATACGTGGAATACGGGTGGAATACCCCACAAGGTATTCAGAGAGGAGGGTGACGTGACGGAGCGGAGTCAGATCATATTGACCGAACGAGAGACACAGCGGAACCCAGTTTGATGCCGTCGAGAGCGCTGCGGCGCAGACTCGCACGCTACGTGCATGGCAGCACGGCGCCAGTGGAGGTGCGCGCTCTGCCCGAGCGCGGCCGAGGAGTCATCGCAACAGCGGGCGCCGCGGCTGGTGCGACCGTGCACGCTGCCACGCCGATGAGCCAGGTGCTGAAGCACCAGCCAGCAGACGGGCCGCCGCTCTGCCGCGAGTGCTTCAGACCGCTTCCCAGTGGCGCTGACCTATGCTGCAGCGCGTGCGAGGCCTCTTTCGAGGCACGCGGCGGTTCGCTGCTGGCGCGCGTCGACCTGAGCGCGATGATGGCACTGACCGAGGGACGGAACTTCCCGCTGCACGTCGCATCGCTCCTCGCCGGCCTTCTCGCAGAGGTGAGGGCGTGCGGCGGGCTGCCGCAGGTCTGGGCGCCACTGGACCTGTGCTTTGCAGAGCTGGAGCCGGAGTCTCACCCGCAGACGGACGCGGAGCACGCCGCACTCGCGTCGGCCTTTGTCGCCGCGGGCGTGACCAACCAGCAGACGCTCGAGCTGCTGCTGCCGCTCTCGCGCTACCGCCGGCTGCTCGGCGCCGCGCAGCTCAACGCGTTCGAGCTCCGCCTCTCGCACGGCGCGGTGGTGTCTGCGCTGCTGCCCGGGGTCGCGTCCTGCTTCAACCACAGCTGCGAGCCCAACGTGCTCATCTCGTGCGGCGAGAGCACGCACGTCGCCTTTGTCGCGGGCGGCGAGGTGTGCGCTGGAGCCGAGCTGCTCATCAACTACGTCGACTACGACTCCTCCAGAGAGGATCGGAGGCACCTGCTGCGACACAAGTATGGCTTCGACTGTAATTGTGTTAGATGCGCGAGTGGTCTGTGATTGTGGTCGCGTCGAAGCTCGAGCGTGCTGCGCGACCCGACGTGTAGCACGTTTGTCAATGGCTCGCGACCCCACACACGCCACACCCACAGAGCAGCCGCCCGGCCGGGGCCGCTCCGTGTCTTACCCGCGCGCGCGAGGCGCGAGCGCCGTGTCGTTCGGGTGTGTGGTCTCGCGAGGGTGGTGCGCAGCTGGCACGTACGCCCCATGTGCCATGACCCCACACAGTCCAGAACAGAACGCAAGAAACAGCGGAAACCTTACACAAGCGGAACCAAAGCCGCGAGACGTAGATAGTACGAGACTCTCACCCCATCGGAAAACGGTCTGTCGCAAAGGCCAAAGCCATGCGCGAACCAGTTCCCCCCACCACCGTACCATCCCCACTAGTACCACAACCGCGACAAGCACAACACGAACGTGGAAGCCCCCCCCCCCCCCC